CTGGTGCCTGGCGATCCCGGCACCCTGCCCGCGGGGAGGGAAGGTCCTCGGTCCCCTGGGCGTCTGAGTCACGCTCCACGGCTGCTGTCCCAGCCCTCCACGTGAAGGGAGGGAGGGGAGGGTGGCACGTGGGGGTGGATTTATCGGGCTGGCACACGGCTGCTGAGCGAAGAGCAAACTCGTCGGGAAGTCTGAGGTTGCCTGTGCTGAGTGTGTGTTGTCCCTGTCAAATTATCCAGCCTTACGAGTACAAATCCTCACGAACGCAGGGGAGGAGGACAGCTGCTGGGCTAGCAATACTTTTTTGGAAAGGATTAAAGCAATCCAGGCCTGTTACTCCATGGATGCTCCTGGCCTTGGAGTGGATGGGCTTAAGTGTTGAGGGTTTCCTTTTCCCAGGGAAAGGGGTCTGAAGCGCCTTGCTAGCAGGGAGGTTTGGTGGTTGGTGGGGGCTGTCAGGGCTGCTGAGCCCCGCTCCCAGTTGTGTTGGGAAAGCTGGGCTTGACCAGGGCTGATGGGATGGTGAGGGGCCGATGGGAGCAGCGTCTTCCCGTGGGAGGGAGCCCTGGCAGAGGTGGTGCTGGCCAGGCGCTCCTCGCCCACGCTGCCTGGGAAATGCCTTCGAGAGCGGAGAAGAGCCGTGGCCGGTGCAGGGCCCTGGCTGGGGCCCAATGGTGGGGGGCCGATGGGAGCAGCGTCTTCCCGTGGGAGGGAGCCCTGGCAGAGGTGGTGCTGGCCAGGCGCTCCTCGCCCACGCTGCCTGGGAAATGCCTTCGAGAGCGGAGAAGAGCCGTGGCCGGTGCAGGGCCCTGGCTGGGTCCCATCTTGGCGCTGCCTTTGCCCTGACCCTGGGAGCCTCCTGTGCTCCCCAGCACCGCGGCCGGCCTCTGTGAGGGGGAAGGGAAGGCGGGGAGAAGCTCTCGGAAAAAGTGACGTTTCATGCCTGCAGCTCCCTTGGCGGCTCTGGCAGCCAGAGCCGAGGGAAGGCAGGGCAGCGAGGGAGCCTTGGCACGGGCAGCCTGTGTTCCTCGCACGGCGGGGGGAGGGGCGGGGGCCCCGGGCCCCTGGGGGGAGGGG